GTAATCTATGTGGAGGTTCGAAAACTCTACTCTAAAGGAAACACAGGCGATGCTACTAATGTTAGCTCTGCCAACAAACGAGGATCCACTACAGCCAAAAAACGACAGCTTGATTTAGCAAGGCAGAGGACTGGCAGCCTCCCTGACTATCCAGTAAGGTAGGCAACACATTATAAGAGAATTTAGAGTTTAAAAAATTGTAATAAAGTTACTTTCCCTAGTAACTAGTTACCTTGAAACTAATGAGTAACTTAAAGTCACTGAGTTACTTTTGAAAGAAATAACTAGTAGCTGTAACTAAGTTACTAATTTAAAGTAACTTGCCAGATGCTGGTCATAAAACCCAAGACAAGAGTCAAAATTAAAAATCCAAATTCACAACTAACTATTTTATTCATCAAACATTGTTTTCATAATTGTAGTTTGTAATTATTAGGCTTTTTAAGCAGAAGTGTTTATCTTTCAGGCAAGTTTGAATTGAATCAGGTAAGCGATGCTACGAAAGGGGGAAACACCATGATTGACAGCAGAGCAGAGAGATAAGGGTGATAGGAAACAAACATTTACACAGGAGTACTCAGCAAACATGAGTCTTTGCTTCAAAGTGACACAAGAATCTGATTTACTGTGGGCTGGTCCTACCTTAGGGATCTTTGATATTTTATGGGTGAGTTTTGATTTGAAGCAGCAGGGCATCTTTGATGTTTGGTGCCAACAGCTCCCATCAAGGTGACATTTTAGCTTTACATCGCACAGTGGAAGGAAATGGAGGCGCAATGTCCACATTCAAGTCATTTTAATTTTGTAAGTAACTCACATTAACCTGCTCTTTCTACACACTTTGTTGATCTTCAGTGTCACTAGAATATTGAAGTCATTGTCCGCGTTTTTTACGGGATTAAAAGAACCAATGGCGTTCTTGGGAAACACCTGTGCCTCCCTTACTATGAATGCTCACGTTTACAAAATCCATTCCTTGCATCCGTGCACCTGGAACTGGACTTTAACATACAGTACATGCAGTCATATTAAATCACACACCTAAGTACTGCAGTTGGGGATTTTCTCTGTCATGTATTTTCTTATGTCATTCTGATCCTGGCCTAAGCCCTCTGCACATGCTCCAGAGTTAGCCCACTGGGCTTTGGTCCAGAAGTTGAATAGCATGAATGTGTTGCTAGGAAACCACATAATGAACAAAATGTCAACAGGTGAAGTCAGGACATAAAAAAGACAACCCCGGGCAGCCACACTGCGTCTAGCCCTAAAAATACTGACACTTTAGTACAAACTCTCCATTCATATGCAGACCCCGGTCATAATTACTGGTTCCAGTAAACGCTTACTTCAATCTTTCTTCACATCTTAATTCTAAAAAGACATATTGTATATGAAAATTCAACAAAAAAGTTAAATAACATCTGTTAAGATATGCATTCATTACTCTAAGCAACCCTTTTAAATGCGCTGTCTATTGCAGTAACTTACTGTTAGCCACACAGTATTGCAAAGGTAACATGAAAGAAATGGTGTCATCTGTGAATCCTACTGTGAATCTAAACACTTCTACAAATGAGATTGGGATAATTAAGCCTCTCGAGGCTGCTTTATAATCCAAATCTGTCTTTTTGTTTATTCTCTTGGTGCTCGTTCAACAAGGAGATATCACCGTACAGTATCATTTGAGTCTGGCTGAAGCTGTTGATAATATTTTTCATTTTCTTTACCTCCAAGTTTTGCTTTAATGTTTCCAGACAGCCACAAACATGCTCATAGTCAGTTTTAGAAAACAGCTTGTTTTGAAATGACTTGATAGTCACAGAGTAACGTTAGTAATACGTAGTAGAGAAACAACAGTCATATTAACTGTAGTGTACTAATGAAGGAATGAAACAGTGAAGTACAAACAGAGCAGAGAAAATGTTGGTGAGACTTAAGGTCAAGTTGGGTATTAAAGATGAGACTCAGCCTCACCTTTGTGTTGGCGTGCTGCAGAGGTCCATGGGGATGAGCTATCTCAGCGCTGATCGATTGCAAATGAGAACTGTTCAGACTGAGGATCCAGCTGTCTACAGAATGAGAGGGGGAAAAAAATCAATGATTGATGCTTGAATCTCTCAACCCCCATCAGAGAAAATATTTTGTGCCATGGCAAAATCAGCTTTGGTTCAAATTAACAAAGAAACAGACATTGAATTTGATGCAGAAGGCTCCAAAAACACATGGACAACACATGTGAGCAGACCAGTAAATGACACAAAAATAGATAATTACATGAATTGTTTGTGGTAACATCTAAGTATAATTATTCAAATAGTAGAATAGTAGAATTTAATTGATTTCCACGTAAGAAAGTCTCCTAAAGACTCCATCACTACAAATATAGCCAAGCTCGGTGACGAAGTTAGGTGAGGTACACCTGGCAAACGGCTGGCAGCATACCTGTCACTTCAAGAGGCGACACCACTAACTATGCAATTAATTAGGGGATTAGGGGAGAGAGAAGCCCATTTTTGTACCAGGCTGTAAACCTGCCTCTTCTTGCTGTTAATTTGAACATTTTAACAAAAAGCTCTATGGAGATTGTTTCACATTAGGGACAACCTCTGGTGGACACTCTATGAACTGCAACTTTTGAAATATCAACTGTGCTTAAATTCAAACCATACTGGTTAGTGTTGGAGAAGTAGTCCACATCTTTTTTTGTAACTAACTCACTTTTGCAATCAGGCAAGAGTCCCAATCGCAGAATGATTATCGCCATGTAATGGTTTGGTTGAAATGAGAAATCTGCTGTAAGAAGGCAGACTGTTAAAAGTTAACAAGCAGGTATCAGTTATAAAAAATTTAAAATCTCGAAGTGAGATGGCAAAGAAAAGAAGGCAACAATGTGAGTCAGCCAAAAAACAATTGAAATATTTGCAGGAAAGTGAGAAGTCAACCACATTTTCAGGAAATACGGAAATAGACTTAGTGAGGCGGAATACATGTTAATTTTTTGTTTTTTAAGATGATTTTTTTTAATGGATGTGTATGTGGCTGCCAGTACTTCTGCAACCAGCCTCAAGTGGACACTGACGGAACTACAGCTTTAATCACTTCCACCTCAGCTTCCTTTTTTAATACCTGGAGGTTGCTGCTTGAGTTTTTCAGAGGATACTTTAAGATTGTCTCACTTCTAGATATAACCTCCAGAGGACTTTTTTCAACAGCAAGTACTAGTGAGGTTGCAGACTCTGAGTTTGTTTTGAAGCACCTGTAAGGAAACTTAGTTTTTTCATAAATTTTGGCGCCCCCTGCAGTCACATCAGTCTTTGCTATCCTTGTTCTCTACTTGCTTAAGTAGTGAATTGTGATGAGTTATCTCATCCTGTTGATTTTTGACGGTTAAATGTATCATTTATTGTGAAAACTTACTGTAGAATTGTAAAAACAAGGCTGTGTTTCAGGGGTTGATAAAGATACGATATAAAAATCAGTCTTATCCCTAGTGGTCTTCTTTGCTGTGGATATCAAGAAAAAGCATCAATATGAATTTAAGTGTATTTCATTAACATTATAAAACTCTTCACAGGAGCTCAGAGAAGTTCCTTGAATCGTGCTTCGGTTCCTATTAGATTTTTCCTAAATTTCCACGGCTGATGTTCAGCATGTTAAGCATGTGTAGGCTAGTTGCTGTGATTCTTTATTCACAGTTAACAGTAACTGTTGAGGCTGTTTTATAGCAGCTAATAAAAAGGTCATTTGGTTCCTCTGAGTAAGCAGACATTATAAAACCAGCTCATCGAGGACATTGATGATAATGACGGGGAGAAAAAACCATGGCAACAATTTGTCAAACTAAAAGAGAATAGAGCTACTAAAACTTGTGCTCAATGAGAAATACCTTTTCATAGTTTATCTTTTAAAATTCACTTTTGGAGCATTAATAAATGTTCACCAGTTCACGAATTACCTATTACACAACCAGGGACTACATCTCAGTCTTTTACCATTTTTGTTTTCATGTAAGGTATAAGCCACAATAGTTGTTTCAAGATTTTTTTTTGTCAACTTGAAAGTCTTTGTGGAGCAACATCTCAAGGTCTTAAGACAAGCTCCAGATACTTAATACATTTGTGTCCTTTAATGTGCCTAATAAATCCAGATTTTTTTCCACAGTGAAAGCAGCAGAGGGTCATCTTCCATTCATTATTAGCCATTGGGAAACTTCAGTATTTTTGAAGCATTGATGTACATTCTATTGTGGAAAAGTATTAGATTATTATTTGTCATGGGTGCAGGTTGGAAAAGCTGCAGAGAAGTAACCTCTGGACGACCCGCTTATCACAGTTATGCAAGTGTAACAAGTGCACTTTGGTCTGTATAGAAAGAAGAATGAGAATGAAGGAACAACTGGAAAAAGTCGGATGTGACTGGATAAGCCGTTACCACAGATGACCCACAGTGTCAGCAGAAAACAACAGACCTGAATAAAGAATGACCCACATCCTGCACATTTACAGTTAAGAAAGGAGATGTTCTTGGTTCTTTAATGGTTCTTATATCATTTCTTATCCTGGTTTCTTTTATTTTATGTCATCTTATGAGCAATGTGTGCTTGCAAAGTCGCTGAACAAGATGAGTAAAATGTGACACACTGGTCCAAAAATGAGGACAATAACACTTTTAAGTCTTTATTTTAATGTTTTTTTTTGTGTTGATATGTTTTATTCTTTACTTATTTTAACTTTTTTTGAATGTTGTCTTTGACCTGAAATTATTCTAAATAACTTCGATACTCACGGAAGCACTGGATTATCTTTTTCAAAAGATAAAATCTAAAGATAGTTGCATTTTCTGTCAAATTTTATCTCAGGCTCACTTCTCCAAAGGCAGTCGGACTCTTTGTGTAGTTTTCACCCTAATCTTTGACTGTCAGGCACCCTGTCCTGCCATGATCCCTGTGGGTACCATTTTCCTGCTGCACAAAAACACACACTTCAGCAATGTCTATAGTTACACATTTATGTTAACAGAGGCCTAAGGTTGGTGTGCTGCGCGCCTCCCCCGCCCCTACCAGACTAAATTTAGGGCGCTAAAGTCCCGCCTCCTCTTAGTAAAAGTAAGTGGGAGTTTGTGTGAACTTGTCATGAAGTGAAATGAGTGTACGCGTAAATCTCTAAAGTGAAAATGTCGGCGGACACGGTGTATGACTGTATAGTGATCGGGGCCGGTGTCCAGGGCTCGTTCACAGCCTACCATCTGGCCAAAAAGAACAAGAAGACCCTGTTGCTGGAGCAGGTGAGTCACACACTGAACACTGCTCTCAAAGATTTACTCTCCGAGGTTACAGCTGTGAGTTCGACCAGACGTCCTTCTCCGAGGTGCTTTTTCTTGATTGAAATGTTACATTAGTCCACAGACATGCAGTGTGACCTGAGAGTGTGTGAGCTGCACGCAGCAGCTGGCATTGCTTTGCATTCCTCGTTTCCAAGGTTACTCTGTGACCTAAACATATCTGTTAGCTAACGTGTGTTTACTACTATGCACTGATTAACCCCTGCAAAGCTGAAGCACATAAATGTATTTTCTATGTGATTTTATTCATTTATTTATTCTTTTGTAGTTACTGTCATTGAATGCACGTATTACTGCATAACCTTTGGGCAACTTTCTGCAAAAATTTATCTTGGATGCACACCATGACTAATTTTTTTTTTTTTTTTACAATTCCTAATGATTTTAAGTATGCACAGTAAACAGTGTTTTGCAGGGGCCATGACCACAAAAGCATCACTGATATGCAAGCTGCCAATTAGAGTGAGGCCTTGCTGACCCATTTATTCTAAAGCATGTTGCAGGTAGTGTTTATTTAGTTGAATACACTGAATTTTGATTAGCTAATTAAATAAACTGCACGAGAACATTATGATAACTAAGACTTACTGAGAGGAGTTTTTAACTCGTTATGAAACAGTCTCTATTTAGTACCTAGTGCTTGGGTATGACCCGCGAAAGCAAACTAGACCATTAGCCAATTCTGTCACTGTTATATCAACTATGCCTGCCTCTATATTTTTCTCTGAGAGGTTTTGCAGGACAAGTCAGTGAAGTTTCATTCATGGTATAATGTTTACAAAATGTCACTTGTGCCAAACTGCAATGATTAATGTAAAGAAAATCTACACAATCTAACTAACATACCCTGCAAAAACCTCTGCAAGAAAATACTGTATATGCTCTAAAAGGTAGCGTATTTCTTGTACGTACTTCAAAACGAAATGTTATGAATATAACTTCTGTTCCCTGAAGGAGAGGAACGAGGTACAACACATATAGTATAGTATGGGATATCACGCCCTCGCGTGGCCTGACTGAAGACACCTTTATTCACGCCTTTAAGGCAGATGATCTGTGGTGACGTCTGGGAGGCTCCGCCTGCACATATATACGTGTAACACCACAGTCATCCTTCAGTTCGATAGCCGCTCTTCACCGAGCCTAGCTGCGCAGTGGGGCAACCTAGTGTTGTACCTCGTTCCTCTCCTTCAGGGAACAGAAGTTATATTCATAACATTTCGTTCCCTTTCAGTCGATTCACTCGGTACAACACATATAGTATGGGACATATATACACGCCCCACAGAGCAGCCACCGAACCGAAGTCAAACCTTCAAAACTTTAGTGCACTGTAGACCCAGCAGAAAGGACAGAGTGAGCCACTGAAGGGGCTGTCCCATCCAAACAATAAAACCGAACAAAACTGTGCGGTGATGATCAACTGGCTGCAGTGCAGATATCACTCACAGAAACCCCTTTAAACAAGGCCTATGAGGCTGCCATTCCCCTGGTTGAATGTACCCTCACACCTTGGGGCAACGGAAGACCCCTGCTGCCGTATGCTAAGGAGATAGCCTCCACAATCCAGCGGGAAAGCTGCTGTTTAGACAGTGCCTTGCCTTAGGCTGGATTAGCAAAACAGACAAACAACTGGTAACATAAGCGCACACTCTGAGTGCGGTCTATGTAAGTGCGTAGTGCACGCACAGGGCACAAGAAATGCAACCTCCTCTGCTCCTCAGATGCAAATGGAGGACGGCAGAAGCTCAGTAGTTCAAAACTCATAGAGCTATAGGCTGTGGGGATAATCTTAGGCAAATACGCTGCATTTGGGCGCAATGTAGAGAGTGAACTGGATACAAAAAGGATGCACAAAGCATGAAGGTCATCCACTCGCCAAAGCAAGTAGCAGTGCAGTCTTGTATGAAAGAAATTTCATGTCTGCTGACTCAACGGTCTCAAATGAGGTCCACCAAGAGCCCCAAGCACCAACCCTAAATCCCATGAGGGAACACTGGGTTTAAGCACAGGTCTCAGCCTGCGGACTCCCTTTAGGAAGTGCATAGTAAGAGGGTGAGCGCCTGGCGACACACCATCTAAGCCAACATGGCATGCAGATACAGCTGCCAAATAGACTTTAATTGTTGAGAAATAGAGACCCCTATCCAGCCGCTCCTGAAGGAATGTTAAAACATCCACAATAGAACTTTGAAATGGGAGTACATTTCGGTCCTGACATGCAATCTCTACTCTCTCACAAGACGACCCCCCTGGAGAGAAGGTCTGGCCCAAGGTTTAAGTGACCCGGAATATGTGTGGCTCTGAGTGACAGAAAACGAACACTGCACCATAGCAACAGAGAGTGAGACAGTTTTGACAGGGGAAGAGAGCATGACCCTCCCTGTTTGTTTATGTAGGAAACCATGGTTGTGTTTTCCGCCCGATCAGAACCTGATGGCCCGTCAGAACCGGACGAAAATGCCTCAGAGCTAATAGGATAGCTAATAGCTCCAGGTAATTGTTGTGGAGCTTGCATTATGCTGGCGTCCACACACCTCTCACTGCTGCGCCCTCGCACAGAGCCCCCGACCCCTCAGGGATGCGTCTGTGGAGACCACCTTGCGAAAAGACACCCTCCCTATCGGAGATCCCCGTTGTAGAAAACCGGGGTCTCTACACGGGAGAAGAGCCGACATGCAAGACGGAGTTATCGTCAGCCTCCTCTGGAGGTGACGCTGCGCGCACAGCCGGTGAGACTGAGTCCAGCGTTGAAACGCTCTCATTTTTAACAGTCCGAGCGGCACTACAGCGATCATAGATGCCATCATGCTTGTCAGCTTTAAAATCGACCGGAAACACAGTTTGCGTCCCAACTGAAATTGTGCAAAGCAGCGGTGAAACGCAGCCACCCTGCGTTCTGACAGACACGCTCGGCTTGAAACGGAGCATATTTCCAGCCCGAGAAATGATACCTGTTGACTCGGAGTCAGTGAACTTTTCTGTAAATTTACGGAAAAAGCCCAGTGTTTGGATGTGCGATAGGGTCAATGACAGCTGAGCCGCCGCTTGCTCTCTGGAGCTCGCGATTAGCACCCAGTCTTCCAGATAGGCTTAGATGCGCACACCTTTCTCCCTTAGTGGAGCCAATGCCGCCTCGACACATTTGGTGAATGTTCGGGGGCGAGTGATAAGCCGAACGGCAGCACCAGGTATTCGTAGGCTATGCCCTCGAATGCAAACCTTAGAAAGTGCCTGTGGTCCGGATGAATCGCTACGTGAAAGTAAGCATCTGTCAGATCGATAGTTGTAAACCAATCTCCCGGTCTGATTTCGCCCAGTAGCTGTCTGAGTGTTAGCATCTTGCACCTGTAAGTTCTTAGGTATTTGTTTAACACTCGCAAGTCTAGGATAGGACGGAGCCCTCCTCCTTTTTTCGGAACAACGAAATAGCGGCTGTACCAACCTTTGTTCGTTTCCGAAGCGGGAACAACTCATATCGCTCTCTTGTTCAACAAGTTGTTTATTTCTTCCCTCAGCACTGCTGCTTCCTCTGCTACAACTGTGTGTATTACAGTATGAAAGCGAGGCGGCCGGGCGCCGAACTGTAAACAGTAGCCCATGGCAACGGTTCTCTCTCCCCACGGTGAGACTGCGCATGCGCACCACCGGGGGAGACGAACAGTATGTCGAATGACCTCCAGTACTGTGGGGGAGGGGTTGTCGCCCTCTAGCGTGCCGGCTGGGAACAGCAATACTTTCCCGCCCAGACTTGATTGATTTATGATGTTTTGAGAACAAAACGAAACCTTTATTAGACTCGAGGAACGCACATTTGTAACATTCACTCAGTGAACAACAGGCGCCATTACTGGGGCATGTGTGTGAGGGAGGATTGTGCTTGGGAAAACTGTGTTAAGGGAGTGCAGCGCCTCTCGGGACCGGACCCCTGAACAAACATTAAACGCGGCCTCTTTGGCGGCAAAAAATGAATATAACCCTGTTGTTTGGGCCTCGCATCACGCCTGGGAATGATGCTGCTCAAAGCTTCGGTTTGTTTTTTCCTCAGCTCAATCTTAGCCTGAATGTCGTCGAGGGACTGCCCAAACAAACCGCTGGCCGACACAGGCTCGTCGAGATAAACCGCTCTGTCCCTCTCCGGAACGTCGGAGAGAGTTAGCCATAGGTGCCTCTGCGCCACCACCGTGGAAGCCATGCCTCTACCGAGAGAGAGCGCTGCATAGCGGGACACACGGAGGATGTAATCTGTGGCGACCCTAGCTTCATTGAGGAGAGGAGAAAGCGGACTGTCAGGACGCATACTCGAGCCGAGTTCCGCCAGACACATAGCTTGATATGTCTGAAGCATGGTGACGAGCTCAGTGCACGAGCCGTATTTGCCTGTGTCCTGTAAATTTTATCCAGCTGTGACGCTGAAAACCTGCAGTGCTTGGATGGGAGCGTGATGGGGCTACCGACACCATAATTCTGGGCCGGGGCCAGATAAGCTGCCAGGGACGCCTCCATAGGCGGAGGGTTCACCAATCCAGCTTTTTCAGCTCCATCCAGGTCCAGAAACTGTCCACAACCGGGCACTGTGGCGCGGGTGGACAGCGGCTTGTCCCATGTCGAGGTTAGTTCCGCGACAAAATCCGGGAACATGGGCAAACTGTTCTTAACAGTCGTCGGTTCGGGTGGGAGAAAAAACCCCGAGAACCGCGACGGTTTTTGAGCCGGTGGAGGAGAGGGCCATCCTACTTCCAGTTTCTCAGCTGCATGGCGGTAGTGAGAGGAGGGATGTGTCGTCCAGATCAACCGGCGCAGCAGCGGCGGCATACTGACCCGAAGACAACGGCTCCTGCTCATCCTCCGAAAAACCCTGCACATCTAAGCCGATGTCCAGCACGTCATCGTCCTCCTGGTAACAAGCTAGCCCGGATAGCGGCTGGCCAGCGCCCTCGGTCGGGCCCGGCTCAAATCCAGCTGACCCGTCAGCACACTCTACATGGTCTGCCCAGTTTCCAACTGAGCCTTCGACCAGAAAGTCCTCACCACCGGACTCGGGCGAAGCCGGGTCTCTGGACTCGGAGAGGAGGGGATCGTGCATTGCAACAGCAGATTTTCCTAGAATTTTCTCCACAAACTTGACCCGCCTTCCCATGGTTGAGCTCCGAAGCCGGTGACAAGACTCACACGACTCGGGCTCAGTCAACGCCCTCCTGGCGTGGACAATACCCAGGCAAACGGGACAAGCCTCATGGAGATCCTTCTCGTGAAGGGAGAAGCCGCACCCCCGAGGACAGGGGCGAACAGAAGACTTCGCCTTCACCTTCATGGGCTTAGAGCTCATAACGAGACTCAAAAGCTGAACGAAATTAGCGCTCCGCGGGTAGCCGTAGGCTAACACCAACAAGGGCAGTTAAGCTAAAAACGATCAGGCAATAGCCACAGACAAGACCAGGCTGAGCTAGCAGCAGCTAGTTAGCCCGACTCGGTGTAGGTGTTCTCAGCGAGGTGAAGAGCGTAAGAACTGAAGGATGACTGTGGTGTTACACGTATATATGTGCAGGCGGAGCCTCCCAGACGTCACCACAGATCATCTGCCTTAAAGGCGTGAATAAAGGTGTCTTCAGTCAGGCCACGCGAGGGCGTGATATCCCATACTATACTATATGTGTTGTACCGAGTGAATCGACTGAAAGGGAACAAGTTCTTTACGGTACCACCATTAACCACACAGGCACTGTATCATGCATCTCCCCTCTAAAAAAATCCAAGCTAGTACAATGAAACTTAGAGGTCACAAAGATGAGTGTGTTTATTTGAAGGACAAATTTGTAGCGACAGAACGTTTAATGATTCCTCTGGTAGTGCGTCCTCATTTGTCAACAGAGCTGTCAATGAATTATCTTTCCAAAATTAAATGACTAAAAGTAAACCTCCCAGGAAGACAAACATTTAAACATGAACTGGTTTGACCCGCGTTCCATCTGTTAACACCACAGAGGTGGGTTTTGTGATCCATACTGCAGCCAACCAGTAAAGGGATAGCTAAAAAATAATTTGGCTTTGTAGAAAGTGCAGTCTAATAGGAACAGTGGAGCACAGAGATTGCAGGATGTTCTCTTGACTATGATTTTGCTTTTATACAACATGGATATTATCGGCATGTATTTGAAAATAGTATCAAGCAACAGCAGATAATTTTTTACTGTTCCACCTACTTAACTAGATCCATAATTCAACAGTAGCTGGCCTTATGCACTGTATCTGTTTTGCATGAGTCTAGAGATATCACCTTTTTGTATCATCTATTATAATGTTTCCATTTATCGTGCAGCCATTGAAACAAGAGCCTGCTCTTTGATTCAGAGGTAGCGCCCAAGACAAACAATGTCCGCTTTAATATTACAATTAAATTAACTATATTCAAAACATCTAACTAAGTGGAGGGAAACAAAGTGTAAAATACTGTGGCTGGTGAGGGCAGTCATGCTGCAAGGGTCCAAACAATGTCCATCGACAGATACTCTCTGTAGTATCAAACGGAAGTGCTAAAGTTCAGATCAGACATGCTCAAGGTCTCTCAGCTACAGTAATTTTAATGTCAATCCCATTTGCTACACAATGCCATTCAAGCATTTCAACAATAAATGCAGTACCTAGTCTTTTTCTCTTCCTCTCATCAAATATTAATTATCTAGCTTCGTGTCTCCTATAGGCCAAGATCACTCCCACTGGGATGTTGGAATTTGCAGTGTTGCTCTTTTGCATGTTACTTTTGCAGCAATTTTAGCTGTCTCTGGCAGTGTCTGTGACATATCTCACTCTCCGTCATTTGTGGATATGCTTCCTAATTCTTTCGCCACAAGTTCAGAGAAAGACAGGAGATTGTTCAGGAATTTATTGTGTATTTGAAAAATAAAATCTATAAAAAGGCCATCGAATGTTTTTTAGAGGGCTGTGAAATGAATCGGCTATGTGTGGAAAAACACTGGCAGGGCATCTGCAGCTACAAAATCTCACCTGCTTTATGCCATTTAGAAAAAAAAATTCACATACTTGTCCTGAATTTTGGAAACAAAAAAGTGCATTAAAACGTCTTTTGACGGATAAATTATGAGAAACTAACTGCAACACCTGATTTCGGTAGATTACAGTAAAAACCCAGACTTCACCGACCATTTTTTTTTTTGAGACACAGGATTATGATGGTGTGTATGAGTCTCTTATATCACCTGAAATAACCCTTGGTCAGCTCATTCATGACGCTCTCACACGTCAGATGTTACCATGGAATCACTTTTTTTTTCTTCCTGTAGTCAGCAAAGGTTTCTGTGAATGTGTTACTGTTTTTATCTTCGTGTGGTTTTATTTCCTGGTTCGATATGCCAGTTCATAAATCGTGGTTTATCAGTTTGCTACGACTCTGTGCGCAGTGGCCTGAACTTAACCCACTCCAACCCACTGAAAATCTGATCTTGAGCCAGGTGTCATAGTCCAACATCAGCGGTTAACCTCACCAACCTCTAAATGTTCACAGGACGAGGCTGCATAGCTGTATAGCTCACAAAAATGTTTCACTGCAGATGTCCAAACAATGCAAACCACAGAATTTCCCTCATCGTTTCTTGATTTCTGTGTCAGAACCTCCCTTTTACAGAATTGTCAAATATTTTGAACATTTCAAGATTTTTTTAAAAACTTTTGATGAGTGGAAATGAATCAAGTGAAAAGAAGTTTAGTCTTTTTTATATTTTATACAAGTATGCTTCATTTTCATAAGAATTTTGCTGCTGTTGAATTTGTTGAGATCAAAGCACTCCATCTAATTCATAAATCACATACACATTCACCACATACTGCCAGCACAACAGAGATCTTCTCTGTGCACTAATTTAATTTGTTCATATTTGAACAACAGTTTTTGCATTAATTTGGTTAAAACTGGCTCCAGTTTGTTCAGATGTATAGTGTTGCAAAAGCATCTCAGACTCAGCTAGAGTGAAAATGATAATGTCTGCTGAGAGTTGGTGGTACCTATGCCACAGTATCCATAAGGGATATAACATACAAACTTTCCATGACACTGACATTTACACCTTTGGCTGACATAAAAAGAATTATTTATCTGTGATATGGATAGAGCGATTATCCGTTTAGGTTACAAATACAACATGTTCATGCTGTTGTGATTTAATGCAGTTTAGAAATGCTTCTGATATGAGTACTAGTGATGTTCTGACATCCATAGCATGAGCCAAGGTTTATTTCTATGTCATGAGTTAATGAAAAAACATTTTTCGGATAACTAACTCATGTTTTTCTATCGTATATAAACAGACATTGCTTCATGCATTACATTGTTTCTCATTTGTTAGCATTCTTAAACTGATGTATTTTATCATTATACCAAATGAAGACAACAACAGGACATCAGCCAGACAAAGCCAGCATCTGCTGATGAAAAAACAACATAGCTCAACCTCTTAAACTAGCCTTTAAGAATCAGTCTGACATAATTGTAATGATTTAGGATTAAATAGTCAGGTAATACACACACTTTTTTATTTGTGTGGAGAAGGATTAGGCATAACACTCATCAAGAAGTTTTTATTTGAATGAGCATCAGGATGAGAGTGCACAGTGCAGCTCTGTGCGGCAGAGAGATGCCGGCAGCTCATTTATATAATCAGACTCTAAAGGAGAGCAAAGTGTATGGAGCTTCTAAACTTTGAGTGTATTTTCAATGGAACGTCAACATGCTTTCTCAAACTTGACCTTGAGACTGAGTGGATGAGGAGCAGATGTGATGTAGTGCATGGCTGTTACATCCTTTTTTTTTAACTACTAAACTCTGAGAGGATGCTGTATTTTTAGAGCTACTTTTACGCACTTTTTAGGCAGATTAGATATCTGAGGAGATTCAGGGGAGGTGGGATAGTGGGCTCTCAGTTGACATTATAAATACGATGAAGACATGATACAACTGCTGTTTAATGTTATGTTCATTTGTTTGTTTGTCCATCTGCAGTTTGTGCTGCCCCACAGCCGAGGCAGCTCCCATGGCCAGACCCGTGTCATCCGTAAGGCCTACGACCAGGAATTCTACGCCCATATGCTCGATGAGTGCTACAAGCTGTGGGCTCAGATCGAGAAAGAGGCTGGCGTCAGACTGTACAGGTACATTCAACAAAAATAAACAACCAAACACACACTCTCTCACACACACACACGCAGAAAACCCATTAAACAGAACATAACAAAACCCCAGCCAGAACACGGAGATTTGTCACATTCAAGGTGCTACGTTCGCACACTAGCAGCGACTCAATCTGCAGAGCCATAAATGCATGACTTTCTCATTACCTCCAGCGTCACTGAATCACCCGGTGACACTCCTGCACCTTTGAGTGTGTAGCAGGGGCCTTTTTCATCTCGCTGAACCTTTGATTTTCCTTTGCAGAGCAGGAGGGAATTTGTGTGTTTATAAATATGACAGTGGCATCAAACTGCGAGCAACCCTCCAGCAGTGCTTTAACGCTCCTGCTCGCATTACCTCTGAGCCGCCCTGTTTGTTAAAACAGCCAAGAGATGGAGAATACAGTGCTGCAAGAGTGTGGAGTAGAGGCACGGTGATAAGGATATATCATTTCCAGTATCCTGATGCCAGTGAATTTTCAAAACAGGCCTATCAATTATTCAAGATATTATACACTATTAAACCCAAATGCTTTCAGCCCACAGAGTACTTATTCATTCATGGCCGCTTTGCAAACAGAGACCCCGGTGCCAAGCTGTTTGAAAGATTTCCAAACAAATTTGAGCCATGGGATTGGATAAAATCCTGAATATAGGTTTTTCAGATGTTATTTGGATAAAACCTCCAGAAGGTGTGGTGAACTTTGTTGGGATTAGGATCCAAATGATTTGGATGATCATGTAAAGAGTCATGCATTCAGGCTGGATTTTGTGGATGAAATGTCATAACATTCTACAGCGGTCAAACATGAAAATGTTTTAAGAAGATAGTATGGACAGTAAAACTTCTATATTTGCACTAAAAATGACTTGAAATGAGTCCCCCTTACTGTGAAATGCCAGAATATGTACCAAAACGAATAGCAAGAATATCAAACTAGAGTTGATCAAGTAAAACTTCCAGTAATTTTTACATATTCTAAATAATGACATTTTCAAATAATTAAATCCCTTGCTCTCTAATTCTCCTTTGCAGTGTGGTTAAATTTCTTCACTGACATATGAAATTATTAAAAAGATCCTATGTCCTCTGGCCTGAACAAAATAGCAGTTCTTGTGTATTCCTCAAAGCATGGAAGTAAAATCTATTATTTATGGTCAAAATTTTGACGTTGCTGCTTGTCATAGATACTTGAAATAAGAATAAAGACCACGACTTGAAGTGTGGGATCAATAAACTACACTTGCTCACAGTATTGTTCTTTTCCAGGAAAATGATATATGAAGTTTATAAGTTTTTAATGCAGAATGGACAGATAATAGATTTAGATAATTAACCATTAAGCAAAACTTAAAAAATCTTTTTTGCTCTGAAGAAAAGTCAGTGAAAGAATATTTGAGTTAATTTACTTGCAAGAGAATAATGCTCTGGAAAACTGCATAAATGTTTGCAGTAGATAAAATCAGAATTATTGCACATTATTGATGAACTCAGTGGTGGAGTGGGTTTATTACGTTTTATAAAGAAGAATACCATGTGATGACGACACTCACACACGTGTAAAAGGTTTGCAAGATATAAAAAACTAAAGCAAATCAGTTACAAAAATCAACATCACCAACAAGAATGAGAATTTGTGCTGGACCACTTCTCTCTCATTACCACACATATAACTCAATACAACAGTAGGCTACAGGCCAAGACACACACTCCAATCACACCACACTCACACTGTCAACAACAACTACAGATGTTTATTGAAAACCATATCATCACCAAGACAAAATTACTTACAACACTTCTCTCATTTTTATTTATTTTTTTACTAAAATACTCGTTTTAACATGTAAATTGGCCGCTTCACCTGCTTCTTATTAGTTTTTATTATGATTATTTATTGTTGTATTTTTGGAACATGGTGGAAAAAAGTGGGCTGATGGCGATCCCCTGTGTCACTCCTGTGTTAACTGTAATAATCACAACCCAATTTAATGAGAAGTGGTTTGTCGTGTTGAATGTTTGTAAAAAGAGATTTTGTTGGCCTCCGAATCATTTTACCGTATGTTAAGTAACCAAGAAAAAAAAATAGTTTTATGAAAATTAGACAGTTGTGTTTACTTTAATGCAAGCACTGATGATTCTCCATACCATTAGGGATACTGGCTTTTAAAAAGTTTGTGCATTCATATTAATCAGGTTTCTCCACTATCTGATTGTTTAAAACCATAATACTGCCCAAGTCTAATTTGAGGCAATGAAGCAGTAGGCCTGTAGCAGTATGCATTTGATGTGTAAGTCTTAATTGAGTTTTGATTTTTAAATTAAAGTTGTTTTAATCTTGCTACAAGAAGTTCTTGCCTGTTATTGCTATAACTAATAATTCATTTTGCCGTTTTCTTCTGTTTATATATGGACATAAGTAATTGGCACAATTAAATACACTAAAATTATATTGTTTCAGAATCAGGATTGCAAAGGGAAAGGAACGTGCTCATTGGTATTACCAAAAAAAAGGAAGAAATACACGCACCACCCTATATGGCTTCATTATTCATGTGTCAGGGTAATAGTTCATAAAAACAAGCCACACCCACTTTATGCTCCAGAGTAACACAGCACACCTCCTCTTCCCCTGTGCACCTGTCCACAGCTGATGACTGATGGGTCCACCATCGAAGGCCACCTGTGCCCTTGGGCCCATAAAAAAAAAAAATGTCTGCATCTCGATGAGAAATGATTGTGAGCAAAGCCTCCTGCTCCTGCTGCCTCCACCTATAGGACAGATGGAGCCTTCAAAAAAAAAAAAAAAAAAAAAGGGCCAGAGCGACTAAAACCTGCCCGCGAACCTTTTTATTTTCCCCACATACATGTCAACATGTGTGCACATCCACCCTGTGAGCTAGTGCCACCAATCACCGACCATGACAGGTATGGCTAGATGAGGTATCATATTTACGACCCTACATACACCCTCGTGGTTTTTCCTTCCCCCGTCACACACTCGTAAACAGCCGAGCACACGGGCAGACTCAGTCATAAAGTGCTCTGATGAATGGCTGCAGCCTTTAGCCGGGGTTGTCTGTGCCTCACGGCCGCTGACAGATGTCGGAGCAGCCTTTAGAAAACACTGCTAGCAAAGGGCGAGTCGAACATCTATCAGGCACATTAGTGATTTAGACCCTGTGTTTCACAACCTCTCACTCCGAGGCTCAATATCTTCATACTGAACTGCTGTGAACTGATGAAGAACTCTTGACTTGTTATATGGTCATGGTTGCTGAAAAACGTATAATCAGGATCAGAATGATGCAGATTTCCAGATCCACTTTTTAGCTTTTCAAGAACAGATAATACAGCTCACTTATACCAAACAAAACTGGTCTGGATCAACTAATAAATCTCTAATTTTATAAGGTCAAATCAAAACAAATATTATCTCAAGACACTTTTAAAAAGAGCAGGTACAGACTTTACTCTTGGATATACCATTAGCAGAAAACCAACAGTAATCTACCATCAATAAAGAACTTTGCAGCATTTAGCAAATGGATAAATACAATGGCAAGGAAAAACTTGAGCAGAACCAGATTCTTGTTGAACAGATGTCTTCAGATGCTCTGCTCGGCTTTGAAAGAGGGACAGAGGGAGATTCAGGAAGAAAGAGATAGATAGAGACAGACATGAACAACAATAGCAACTCGTAGTGTTGACTCTGACTAAAGGTTAAAGGGCTAGTTTTAATGTTGATGATGCTAAACGTACTACTGGTAGTAACAGTTAAATAACATATTAATCTTGGAGGTAAGGTTTGGTATTTTTGAAGTGGGCCTGTATGAGTTAGCGGTGACTTTTAAATGTCCCAACCTTAATAGATGGCAGTCGGCTCAGCTTCTTTAATGAGGAACTGCCAGGAGATCCTGCACACAGGCTAGGCTACAGTTTTCTGCAGATGTGCCAAGTCTGCCACATACGTCAACTAATTTTTAGAGACTATGACTAAAGCACTCATCTCAGTGTAAGTGTATGCTGTACTGAGGAGGCACTATATTTGCCATCAGGAGGAGGTCCATCCTTTTATTACACTGTTTGCGGGTGCAACACATCTGTGCTTGACTGCCTTCTGAGTAAGAACCAAGGAAGGATTTCCTGATCTTTTCCAATGTGATTATCATTTTTCTTGTTTTTAGATCAACCTGTTATCAAGATTCAAGCAGTTATGATCAGATTGTTTTGGAAAAGATTGAATAAAAGGTCAACAGCTTTGAATGATTGAGTAATGGCAAATTTTGATGCTATTAAATAAAGAAGTGAAAATTTTAATATCTCATTGTTTGGTTCAATTTAGAGTTTTTAATTCACAATTCCGTTCAAAATTGATTCTCAGTTAAACCCTGTTTACAATTTGCTTATTTTCATGTGTTGCGGTTCATGCAGCTCTTACATTTGAAGAGGTTTTCAACGATTGCAGGAAAGTATAGAAACACAACCAAGAGGAAAAGTAACATTTCTTTCATTCTCAACCTGCAAAAATTAGTTTTTTTTGTACCTTAAAATTTTTGGTGACTAAAGCATAAAATTCACAAAAAGTTAAGGCTATACACAGTAAATGGAAGGCTTAGCCCAGATGCCTCTGTTCTGACTCGGGTTTTAATTCCCCCCTCAAATTAAATTACCTTACATAATTTTTTGTGACCGTTACACAATCACACATTAATGCTTCACAGAACTCAGACATGTTGTCAGACACTTTCTATCTGTCGCACATTTTTGATAGTTTTGCAGAAAAAGAAGCTGCGCACTGAAGTCAGATAAATCCACCAGGCTGTCATAAACATTGTTTTTGTCTGCAGTGCCACAATAAGGACATGTAATTTCAGTTAAAAGAGGAGCATGTATAATTAAAAGATCTATTTTGTTCCATTTGGCTGATTATGGGTCAACACTAACTTGAATTACTTAATTACAAAGAATTAGATACAAAAGATGATATAAAGCTTGAGAAGAAGAGAAAGTATAAAGACAGAAGATGATAACAGCAGTATATTTGGTGGGTGTGATGAACTCTGAACCCTGGACTTGAGTAACTCTCCTTGAATATTTGAGCGTCTGTCTCCAAGGAGAGGATCTGTTTTCTCTTCCATAATACCTCCTCCTTGCTGTCCTTTGTCAAGTGTAATAGTTTTTTCAAGGTTGCATAGGAAGGAGGGGCGGGCGTGTTCGTAAGACAAAACCTTGGTTTTGGTGACCCTGAGCTGACTGTCTCCAGCTGCAAGAAGGTAATAATAAGCAACAGCTCTATTTTCGTTCCATCCAACAGCTGCAGGGACAGCTCCTTGTAGCCAGTTTCTGGAAAACTCAGCTGCAGATTAGCTTCAGACTTAAAGGTTAATAGAAAAATGTCTTTCAAAATGTCCTTCAAGGTGGTAAAGAACAAAAAAACCAAGCTAAACATGCTAATTGCCAAATATCCAGTTTGGAAAGATTCTCTCACTTCATATGTTTTTAAGTTAAAAACTAGTGAAGAAACTTTCATGATCATCATCACAGCTCCTTTAAATGACATTTCCTCGGATTACAACTTCTGCCTCCTGTGGACAAAGCATAGACTGTATATAGAATGGATGCCATCTGCCTCAGCACCCTCTAGTGATGGGCTGCATTATAGGTTATAAATCCCACCTCCTCCAGCCATCCTTATGGAGCTGTGGACAAACTTTAGAAATGTATTACACAGAATACAAGTTTTTCTCCACCCTGGCTCCGATGTTGACATGTAGTTATTGTAAGACTGGTTTGTGCTCAAGTCCTCTTTTTTTCTGTGCAGCTCCTTTTTTAAAAGTTATTAGGGGGTTCATGTTTTCTATGATTGACACTTGATACAGCCTATGGGTGTACGAGGATTGCGTAGCTCACCCGAGGGATACGCTGTTTGAGCTGAGCGTCGTCACAGCGACTCTCTGCGACACTCCTGTAGATTGCGTACAATACTACTGCGCAATGTTGGTTTCAGGAAATGGAGAAAATGTGGAATTACCAAGAGCTTTTCAGCTTCAAATCAGTATACTGGCGGAAGGCGAGACCAAGTTGTCCATAGTATATTCAGTCTATGGGACAAAGCAATGCACCTGACTCATACCAGGCAGGATTAGACAAAACCAAATTACTACAACCTCATTCCAAAACAGGTTGTTTTGTTAAATGCAGACCGGGTCAGTGTAGCGCCTGAACTCTCCTACTATGGAGCTGTGTGCAAAATCTTCCTGTTGTATTTTTAAAGGTCTTATCTGGACGATAGCTTTTCTTACTCTAAAACCGTACTTTTCAGCACAAGGGCCAACCTCCCAGATTTCTAAAGTACCCATTACATAGGCACTTGTCCACTCCCGTACCACCACAGATGCCAGCTTTTGAATTGTGCACTGATAACAACACAGCAACCATAAAGTACGTCAAATTTTTGTAAAGGCTTAGGTCCCAAGAAGTATAAGTGTCTCTGGACCTTATTTATACTTTATAAGGTTCCCTCTTTGTAATTGTGGATGCAGTGACAAATTGTGTTTTAAAGATGCTGGTTTTTAAATGTAATTTTGAGCCAATACTGTGATTGCCACCACAGACACAAGTGTTACTTCATTGCAGTGCTGCCTAAGGGTTGGTAGCTAGAAGATCACCCAGAATTAGTCTTAAGCCTGGCCCTTTGTGTGAAGAATCTTTTTAATGATATTCTATGCTCAAGATTATAAAATTTCCTATTTCAAGTTTCTTTAGCAGAATTTATTGGTACATTGTGTCAAATACTTCACCTGCACTCATGCTAGTTTGGCATCATATTATCATTTTGCTCATCTCTTCTGTGTTTCTGTCCCCATCAACTGCCGTCACGTCATCTTATCTCTGATCCTCAAAATGCTCACCACCTTGGCTAAGATGATCCCCTCCATCTGCGCTGTCTGTATGGGTGCAGATCCAGGATACCAGTTTGCAGAGATGCGAGTTTTGGAAGGAGCTCTGTCTTTACAGCTCATTAAACTGTTTTTAAAAAGTAATCTTTTAAGTTGGTGAAGTTCCTGCTCATCCATGTTCAGTATTTGCTGTGCACTCCAAGTCTTCCTGTGAATCCAATACTTTTATATGAATTTAAAATATTATTTTTTGATTAACTTCTTTAGGATAAATTAAATTCTCTAGTAACCACCAAAAACAGGATAGTTTTTCATTGTGCCTGTAATTTTTCTAAATATGATGTCTCCTCTTTTGTCTTCCCTAATCTCTCCTCTCAGACAAACGGGCCTTCTGGTGATGGGACCAGAGAACAGTCGGTATTACGAGTTGGTTAAGAACACCTTGCAGAAGAACAAGGTCCCCATGGTGGCCCTGACCCGGGAGAACTTCAGCAAACACATCCCTCTCGTCAACCTGGATGAGGGTCATGGAGCAGTGGTGGAAATACCAGCTGGTATTCTGTATGCTGATCGTGCAGTGAAGACCGCACAGGTACGACACATACAAGTGAGAGTGAGTGGCCTGTGAAGGTTCAGAAATCCATGAGTCATTTTTCCTTACACCAGATAAAAATCATCCTGATTCCTACTTCTGTTTACATGGATGCTTGATGAAGTGACCAGATTAGATTCTGTCATTAAGTAGTTTTTATTATACCTATTAGTGGTTCATTTAAACAGCAAACAGGTAGGTCATGTTGAAGTACGAAGTGGGCTGAGACAAAAGCAAGTGTTTGTTTGGGTTCAAGCCCTCAGCTATAGTCAAATGTTTGCAGGTTTCTTGTTCATGCTTACTGGGATACCAAATAAGAACACTAGTTCATTATCTTGTGAGCATAAATTACTAACCATTACAAATGCAGCAGTGTAGAGATGCACAACACTGGGGTTTTGCCGTTATCAGATGCACTGATACTTTCAAACACCTGTATTGTAATAGTACTGATATAGATGTAAACACACCCTTCTCTTTTATTGTAAGCAGTACTGAGCCTCTATTGTAGTAGAATTTACCTGTTACTTGTTTCATGCACTATTTAGACCAATGCAACATTAACCTCTGTGTTGTAGGAACACTATCAAGCAATTAGTTTAATTATTACTTTCTGTGTTCAAGCCTTTTCTCTGCCTTATTGCACCTTTAAAGGTTGGCTGTAAGAGACCTAAAATGCTTCTGTTGTACTTAAGAAGGGAATGTTTAGGCCTCTGAAATCACAAACCCCATGAGTGTGCAAATGTACTTCCCAAACCACGCATTACTTTGTACACATAAGTTAACTACTTTTATGTAACATATCAAAATAACTTGTAGATGCAAAAATACCTTACTTCCTTGTAAGGCTGGGCAATAAACCAATAATGATATATATCAAAAATTAATTTCCCTTGATATCGATATGAAACACAGTCAATATGCTTTTCGATAGCCGGCATTCTGCCAGTTTTTGGTAGACTATACAAATGGCCAATGAAAAGGGGAGTTGCTCCGGGTCCGCTTCGCCCTGAACCAATTATGTGCTGAATTAGAACCAAGTAGCAAACAACTGCAGCTACACGTAACCATAGCACGCAACAAGTGAAGCCGGCAGCACTGTCAGTGAGAGAAAAAAATAAAACGAGCGCTACCCCTGGCAGAAAAGCAGATGAATGCGAAGCAGCCCGTGATGCCTGTACAGACAAAACAGCCGACCACCGCTATCTCTGGCCTTACGACAAAAGTCCCAAGAGACACAAAGACCTCAGATGCAGTAGCTTATTGTATTGCAATAGACATACTACCAATAAGCACTGTTAAATTTCATTTAAGAGTAACAGGGAATATTTAAGATTTACGAATTATTTTTTTATATTGTGATATTTATTGATATTGACCGATGTGAAAAAATATATTGTGATAAATGTTTTCCCATATCGCCCAGCTCCACTTCCTTGTTTGCAAAAGAAATTAATATGTGTATGTAATACAATTAGATGTGTGTTCAGGTTGATAACTTATATTCACAAGATTAAAATGATCACCGTTGCAGGACTTTAAGGGCCCACAGATTACATTAAGTCAAAGTAATGAGTTTTAAAAGTTGAAACGTTTTTCTTATCTCAAAGTCAGTGGGTTCGTAGGATCTGATCCCTTCTCTCCTTTCCTCCAAAACAGACTACCCTTTTGCATACATTTCTTGCAAATGCATGCTATTAAATGCGCTATTTAATTATGCATGCATCACCAGCAATTTACCAATTATGCTATTCAAAAGTTACGCCAATTAATAATGGACTGTCCTGCTGGATTTCTTTCAAAGAGCAGTTTTCTCATGGAAGTGATCTGCAGCATAAAAATGTTCCTCTGAAACGGACCTGCAGGTAATGGGCGCACATAAAAGTGATGAAAGATTAAAGAAGCAAAACATTTTCTGATTTCACAGATAGAGAATTTGCCTGAATAATACCACAATGTGGATAATTGAACATATTTCATGCCCATTGTTTTAATCTAATAATAGCTCATGCCAGGAATATCTTTGAGCAATAAATTCACATTAGTGGGCTGTGTCAGTGCTGAGAGGAAGCAGTGGAGGAGAACAGACTCCTGCACAGTTGCCAGGTCAAGCACAAAATGCTGCTTTGTTATTTCAGGGAGGTGCCATTTTCAATCGACAGGACAGATTGTACGGCCGCCTCTTTGTGGAGCAGCAGTCAATTATAAATTAAAGCTTAAAGTGACAGATGTGTAATAGATCTGGAGATCATTGCTTTGTGCATTTTCATGCCACAGCTCTTTAATAGCGCCTCGCCTGTGATATTATGTCTTAATATATGAAGCAATAGATCTGTCTTGTTGAATTACTCGAGGCAGCCATGACTCTTAATGTCTCATTTCATTGTTTTTATGAAAACAAACTGGAGTTATTTTCGCTTACAATTTGTTACTTATAGATAACATATTAATAATGCAAAAACACATTGTAAAAGAGGCTGTTACTGTTGTGAAAGAAAGTATGACCACTGACCTTTTTTTATTTATATGTGTAGTTTAACTCTTTAAAATAAATCGAGGGAGGCTCAAGAGCTGTTTTAGCAGACATAACTGATGATCACTTAATGTCTAAAAGAGTTGTTTTCAAAGTTTTATCATCACATTAGTTGCCTCTTTCCCTCTTTTCCAGGGGCAGTTTCAGAAGCTGGGTGGGGTCATTCGAGATAATGCGATGGTGACCGACATCAAGCCTGGCCCTCTGGTTACCGTGGTAACCTCTTCAGGTGTTTATCGAGCTAAGAGTTTGGTTATCACTGCTGGACCCTGGACAAACAGACTGCTGGCACACACCGGCTTGGAGCTGCCTTTGGAGGTATCGAACGACTACTCCTTATGATGTTTATTCAGCAAAGTTGTTCCTTATAGCAAAATACGTTCTTTGTGACACTGTGGCCTTAATTCTTTTGTTATAAGCACAACAAGTACAAAACTGAATAACAACAAGAGTCATTAATATTTGAAAGAAGTGAGCAACACTTTAACACAACAATTTTATACCAGAAAGTGCAACATTTAATTTAGGAGGTGAACATGGTAAAAAATTATACTAACAGCATTGTATTTTTGTTAATACTGATGCTTTTAACTTTAATTTTAAGTTTTATTTTTCATTTTAAGTCTTTAAAATGGCATAAATCTTCATAAAGCCCCTTGATTGTAGATGTTGCCAGTGGATTTTTTGCAGCCTGTGGCTGTAAAACAGACCATAATGGTTGTAACTGTGTCTTGTAGGGTAAATTTACTGACTAGAAGTTTTTGTTTTTGTCACTGTCAGGCCCAGATTGTCATTTTCACAGACTGACAGTGTAACAAAGATGATCCCCTACATAGATAGACTGCTGTATTAGGGAGAAAGATGAATTTTTTTATGTTACCAAATCTGCTGTAAAATCACTCCTTAATGAAGAAAAGCAATAATCTTACCTCCCAGACTACAAAGGTTGCTGGTCTACCACTGCCCGAGTCAGTTAGTTGGTGAATTCCTCTTTTTTTGACATACTCAGTTCATGCATTCACCTGCAGAGACACACGAGACATACGTTTTAGAAGTATACAAGTGTAATGTTTATGTGTACAGTTTTTTCGGCATGGTATGGCTTTCTTGTTCAACTTACTCAGCTTTTGTACATTACTAGATGTACTAACCCTGCTCTTTGTAGAATTTCTGATAAATAAAACAGAAAATTTTGACCGTGAGATCTTAGTAAGTACCTGGCAGAGAGTGTGTACTTCAAATCCACCAAACACCATGAAGAAAAACTATAATTTTACTTCACTGGAGCTATTTGTCTAACCCTGCTTTTATCTCTCTGTTGCACCATTAGGATCTAACCCTGTGTAACCTTTAACATGCCCCACTCCACCATAAACCACAGTGCATCACTGCTCCATATTTAAACAGCTCAGAGTCCTTAGTCAGCAAGGGGGTCTTATCCGTCTCACATTATGCCACACAGCCTTAGAAAAGACGGGGTGATGGAGAAACAAACAGACGGCTGTTAAAGTGGAGAATTGGAGTTGATATTGCAATTGCATTATTCAGGCTGCAGCAGAGTGCGGGGTGGCTGAGGGAAGCCATGCCTGAGCAAACTGGTAGAAAACCCCATCTCTGAGCTCTGCCTGATTTTTATGGTCCCTGGGAATGAGTGCACGGACGGTTAGTTCATTACACTGAAAGCTCCTGAACAATGTGTCCTTATTATCAGGCCCCTCAGATGGACGTCGTTTGTACAACCATGTGTACATTTCATTAAATCCTCACTCTCATTTCAACACCGCTGAGCTGTTTTTATAATCGCGCTTTCTATTAGACGGGAAAAAAAGTGAGGAGGAGGAGGTGTTAAAAGGTTTTTTTTTTTTAAGAGTTTACCACACTGTAGTATTAAAGCTGCTTGTTTTGTGCCAGCATGTTTTCATTCAAACTGTTTATTGTATTTTTAACTTTTCTTTTTTGAAACGACATGAACTATCAAAATGCCAGTGTAAAATACCAAACATTTCTGATGATGATTTAAAGCAAGGCTACCTGTTAGAGATGATGGTGATGTATCAGATAGAGCTGTAACACTCTATGTTACAATACTGTGTTTTTGGCTCAGCAAGGACAAACAAATAAAAGGGCTCTAACACAGCATGTACTATGTGGCTGGTTCCCACACTTTTCCTGATGTGTCTGCTGCAGGTGGAAAAGATCAACGTGTGCTACTGGAAAGAGAAAGTTCCTGGATCTTACAACATTAAGAACCGTTTCCCCTGCTTCATACAGACTGAGTGTCAGGATACCAAAGAGCACATCTATGGCCTCCCCTCCAATGAGTACCCAGGTCTGATGAAGGTAAGTCACAGTGCGAGACCCTCCAAGTACCACCTTTTTTGGACATTTTCCTTTTTTGTTAGATAGGACAGCTGCTGCTAGACCATCAGTAACCCCTGTGTATCACTTTGTCTCGCTACATTCAGGTCTAAGGTTCCTTTTTTTCCTCAGTTTCTCTCCTGCTTTGTGAAAACTGAACCACAGAGGTGTCCTAAATGTTTACTTGTAGTCAATTAAAAATCAAAAGAATTCTAAAAAAGCATCTAAAAAAATCATGATGGTGGAGTTTGAGTTTTTAACTGCTTGGTAAAATGGTCTAAATGAGGAATGAGTTACCACAATAGTACTTGCAAAACCAACTGTAAAATATGTTTTGCCGTGTTAGTTTGTTGTGTTATTTCTGTGAGTTTCACTGGGTTTGATGTCATGAGATGGCACGTCTCTATTCTGAGCATTATGGTGGAGCAGCAGGAGCTCGCAGCCTAATAGCAGACCACATGCACAGAGGAGAGGAGGGGACAGATGGCGCTGACACGTCCCATTATTCACTCCGAGCCAGTCACCACAGATACTGTATGTGCAATATTTAGACCATTCAGCACAGGTTGAAAAAAAAAGGGTTGTAATAATTACTCCCTAAAGTTTATTTATTGTTTTTTTTTTCTGTTTTTTTATTGTTTTTTTTGTTTTGAAATGCAACTTGTCAAAAAGTTTTCTAAGTAGAAAATTTTAACAAAGGAAAATAGAGAGTGCGGGTTTTTATCTGTCAGCCTCCTCACTGTGCTGTGAGTCTCTGTGTGAGTCTGTTTGTGTCAGACCGGCTGGCAGCAGCAGGAACACTAAAGCAGTTGTGTGTGTGTGTGTGTGTGTGTGTGTGTGTGTGTGTGTGTGCGTGTGCGTGCGCGTGCGTGTGCGTGTGTGTGTGTGTGTGTGTGTGTGTCAGTCAGCCCTCTCTTCTTTTCTTTAGTAATTTACCTTCCTAACTGGAAACGACAACGTAGACAAAAACAAGACGCTATTTGTGTTAAATCAATATCACTGTGCAAGAGATATTACCATTGTTTTAAAAAATCCTAGATTAAGCACTGATGAAACTAACTGTTGGATTGAATCCGTTTTAATTGCAGAAACTGAATTTTTGACGAATGAAGGTTTTGCATTTGTTTTGTATTTTTGCTACCATCCTGCACAAACGACAAAAGAATTTCAGAGGTGTGTGAATTGTGTGTGCAGAAAGGCTACGGGCTTTGTGGTAAATGGAGGTGCACCAAGTTGCACCAAGATAGGCGTGCAGTGCAGTAGGGGAAGGTGTCGACAGAATCAGCTGGCGTTTTGACAAATTCATGCCCTCTGGCGGCGCAGAGAGTGCGCTGATAGCTCGCCGGTCCCGACTCGGTCAGCTCTCAACGCAGGCGGAGCGCAGTTGATCAAGTGGAAAATTCATAGAACCGGGAAGCAGTACGCACACCTCAAATACAGGCACATTTCAGTGCAATAAATAACAACAACCACTATTAAGTGCAACTATCTGAGTCGGCACATACACTTCGATCTTATATATTCTGATCTATATCTTATCTGATAAGCATGTTTGGCACGCTTAACCTGACCAAATTAACACTGCTGAAACTGTAATGCTGATCATTAATTATTCATATTAAATATCCAATTAACAGTCACACATGATGGCGTTAACAAGATATGTATTGAGTCAAAGGTCTTTTTAAACAAAGAAAAAGTATCTTTTATATTTGTCATTATAGATCATAACAGTTATGATACAATAAGATACACTATGGTACGATGCAGGACTGTCTTGTGGTCTAAGAAGTCCAATTTTGACCTATTTTTGGATATCATGGATTCCACATCCTTCTCCCAAGGAGAGGGGAGGGACCTCCTGGCTTGTTATCAGTGCATACTCCAAAAGCTAGGTGGCACAGGGATGCATCAGTATGAGGGCAGCTTACACATCAAGGAAGGCCCCCTTAATGCTGAATAATACATAGAGGTTTGGAGCAACGCGTGCTGCCGTCAAGACAATGCGCTCAGAAAATGCAGCAAAAAGATGACAAAGACACATTTTAAACCAAACAAAACAGCATGTCTGCAAAATAGGAGAACCCAGGTGCTACACTGGCCTGCCTGCAGATCAACATTTCACCCACTGAGAAATTAAAACAATGAGGAAAGACCAGTGTATAACCAGTGATAAAAACTACAACAAAGGAGACCCGCAACTGTTTAGCAGCTAATTAGGTCCAGGTCTGCCTTCTCTTTTTAAGTCCTCAGACTGGTGTCCTCAGATCAGAGACATTTACAAAGTGTTGTTAAAAGACGAGGTGATACAACACAATAGTAAACATGTCTCTGCCCGAACTGTTCATGATGAGGGTTTTTTTCTGGTGTGCAAGGCAGAAAGTTCTCTTTAGTATCGTCTCTGTGTTATTTACTTCCACTAAGGTGTTGAAAAATTTATGATGTCCTCAAATTAAATGTAATTTGTTACACATTAGGGTTAAAATGGAAATATTATGAATTAGTGTAATTACCTACATCTAGACTTAATCATCAGATTAAACTAATTAGTTGCTCTGCTGCCTTGTAATTTAATCTGATAATCATGAAAAGTTGAGGAGCTGCTGAATAGCCAACAGAGCAAAGAGCTTCTGGTGCACCTGCTCCTTTGAACAGCTACAGGTATGCAGTGCTCTTGTACTCCAGCGGGTTCGAGTTGAGTTTGTCAGTAGTCTTCCCTCTGTGTGCAGGTTTGCTTCCATGCCGGCTTTGAGACAGACCCGGACCATAGAGACAAGCAGAAAAACACATCTGACATCGACATCCTGCAGCGCTACATCGCCCGCTGTTTTCCCGGCCTGGACCCTCAGCCTGCTGTGGTGGAGAGCTGCCTGTATACGGTGAGTATGCACACTGTATATCTACTCTATAGGTGGTTTACGCCATCTGAGAGCATCAAATAAGATAGAGGTCTCAGAGGCTGAGGCCTTGTCAGAATCAGGAAATATCAGAGAAGCTAAAACAGGGTCACTAATGATACTAATTTAATGACAGATAAATATAAAATATGTTACATTGAATGAAAGGAGAATAAATGTTTTTTTATCAACTGATATCAGTGGTGTACAGACTCACAAGACACACATTACATAGACAGTTATTGTTTATGATCATTTACATTCACACAGTTTAAGATTATACCAAAAATGAAGTTGTAGTTTGAGATCTTTTAGCTCTTTAGCATGAATGAACATCAGGTCAAAACACGCTATTCTCTCAGTTGTCAGCAGAATCTTTGAGGCAGCATGACATTTAAATGTTATAAAAATGTCCTCATGTACTCGAAGGATATTAAAATATGGTTAAATTGCTCTGACATTTAGTCAAGTCCTTCACTGCTAACACTATGACTTGGTAAAGTATGTTCACATCAGTGTGGTTTTAGTTTCTAACAGTCTTATACAAAAAGAAGCCTTTGAAAATGCAGCAATGTTTTGATGTTATTAGTCTAATTTTTGATCTGAAATAAATCATAGCGAGAGTATTTATCCTTTTTCCTTTTCCTTTTTGTCCTCAATGTTTACATCATAACGTTACATCTTTAATCAGGGACAGCCTTGATTTGAAGTTGTTCTCAATAATCAGTATCATTTGATCTGAAATAAAAACATCAGAGCTGGACTTTAAACTTTAAAGTTGCGCAGTCAAATCAAATTATATTTCAGGAGAAATGACACGGTAATGTTTAGAATTAGGGATTGAATATGTGGATTTACTTGGGCAAATAAAACATCTATAACCTGTTTTTGATGGCTGAAACCTATAATCTTATATCAATATTTAAAAGGTCCTGACAGTAATAAAAGTGCATCATCAGCAAAGGCGTCGATTTGTCTCTCACCAGGCTGCTGAACGGCTCATGCCATATGAAGTGAGGAGCCTTTTGATTCTAATTTACTGCTGGTTGTGACTGTCCTCAGGTGTTGGATTGTGTTCAGGCCATAAAGTGCTGTGTTTTTCTGAGTTTGTGTTTGTGTGTGTTCCCTGCCCTCCAGCTCCACAGCGAGCAGCTTTCACCATCATCACACGCTGCGGCTGTGTGAAAGCATAATTTCTGTGACCTTGTCCAATGCCCCTGAAATCCTGACAGTCACGCTCCTTTCTCACATCACAGCGTCTGTTTTGTTCCATTAACAGAGACTCTTTAAAGAGGACACGCAGTGAAATTACAAACGTCTCTGTGGTTTGGTGGAAAAATGTGCCTTCTGTCAGAGGTCATTATGCAATCCCACCATAGACTCTGTAATCCAGTTAAACACATTTTTAAGCACATTTTCCACAAAGACTTTGACAGGAACAGCTCCGAGGCCACACGACCGTGAGGAGGGAGGGGGGGCGTGTGTGTCCTTGTGAAATGTTCCCAGGACTGTTTGCAACTGTTCTGTTCACTGTTCATGACTGCATAAAGAGGAAAAAGAGGCAGGAAATGGAGAGGCTGCAGAACTCTTGACTTAATGTGCCAAATGTGCTTTTGTCAGAACATCTGGCTTCAGAGTCAGAATGAGGGAAAACAGCCCCGGTTCTAAGTAGAAGAGTTTAGACTGAACCGCTCTGGTAAGCTTTTTAGTACTTGCCTACTATGGTTGAATAACGAAATCAGTTTCCCTCTTGTACCTCTGCGCTTGGCGGGCTTTGGTGCACGTTGGGGTGTGGCAGGAGTGGGGAAGTGGAGCACTTTTACAATGCAACAATCCGATTGAGTGATGTTGGGTTTGAGTTAAACTGCAGGACACACTCTTTGACAAGCTGCCATCAGTAGATTTTATAATTTTGTTCACATAGTCAAGTCTTTTTCTACCTCTAATTTTAATAAATAAAAAATGGTTGATGAAATAACCTGAGTGTAACCTCAGAAGAATCACTTAAAAACATGTTTTTCAGTCGCCAGAGTTAGAAAACCTGCTATTACTGCACTATTGAATTTTATTGAAGGCCAGTCTCTTTTGAGCGTCTTCTATTTTCTCTCCGAACACTTTGCAGCAACCGTGCTCAAGACTGAAACTGAATAATTTGTTGTACATTATCATCAGTTATGATTAAAGCTAGGACAAAACTTACCATGGTTTGATGTATGATATTTAAAGACCTGTTGAGGGTTTCTGAGTAATTTTGCACATTAATGCTGATGACTTAAAAAGTAATTATGAAATTCATCATGTGACTTTTCATTATGAAGTTCTTGTTATCGAAAAATATGTGACTTTTGAGATATTGTCTGTACAGTTATAGACGTCTGAAACAGTCTTGACCTGGGATTACTGCATCAGAATTGAGATACTGAAATCCTAAATTGACAGTGACTAAAAGTTACACTAAAAGATTACCAGTGGTTATTTATGTATTTATGTACACAAATCCACAAGAACTAATCCATTAACTAAGAAAAGATTTGCAGATATTTTCTATTTTATTGGACAGATGTAGTTGGTAAGAATATTTACTTTGGTTTCTGATGAGTCAAAAGAAGAAACTTACATCTGTTTTTACTCCTTCTGCCATAAACTAGCAGGATTCAAATCAAAACTCACCCCTTTCCATTATTTAATTGACAGTCTTGATATTTTTTCTACACGCTTTTTGCTTGATCTCATTTTGTTTTTGTACTTCGCAGCTAACACCTGACCGTAATTTTGTGCTGGATCACCACCCTGCCTACAGTAACATTGTGATTGGAGCAGGATTCTCAGGTAACACACAACAATACAGCACATTAAAACACAAAACAACTTGTGAAAATAATCTCAGAAAGTTGACATCAGAGGTAAACTGTGCATGTTTGCATTGACAATCATTCCCCTATCGAGACAAAGTGCCAACTATCAAGTTTCAGCTCCTGTATTAGCCCATGAAGGGGGAAGTAAGTGGCTGTATTATGGAGGTTAGCCTTTAAATAACCGTCTCTGATCTCCACTTACTAGAAGCTACAGCCCAATAACAAGTGAACCCAGCTCTCCTGTTTACTGTGAGAATAAATGGAGAACAATAAAGAAGCAGCAGCATCAGATCCGTCCAGTTATATAAAGCAGACATGTGAATTAATATATTTTATTATTTTTCACACATTATCAAGTTATTTTTGAGTTAAAAAGCTTTGAGTCTGTATATTTATGTTGTTTTTAAACCTTCAGATCAAACCTTCAGATAGTGATAGTGGTAACATTTGCTCACAGTTTGTGGATAAAACATTTTCTATTTTTCAAACTGATGTCATCCAGCTGTTCTGCCTGAACTTTCTGTGATTTAGGTTTCATGTCAGAGGATCTTACACCTGTTGCTGTTAGCTAGTTTGCACCTGGTGAGCGTAATGGCAGCTTCAGACACGAAGCGAGAGTTGAGTAACGGTGGCAGCTCCGGCCTCTGCCCATTTCACCATTTTCACACATGCTTTCTGCACATGCTGCAACTGCCAGCCCTGTCTGTTTTTATACACTTCAAATGTCTCAGCTCTATAAACATCGGGGCAAAAGGACATGTGATGGCCTGTGAGTTACAGCATGCATGTGAATAAAATCATATATTCCTCACTGAACAAACTGTTTGCGTCACATAATGATTTTTATGGTTAAGCTTGACGTAAACAATCGTATGTACATTGTAGATGAGTCTTTTACATTAAAAGTACAAAAACAGGAGGGTGTCGCAAGAAAGAGAAAGAGGGGGAGTGACAGGTAGGAGGATAAAAAGAGGGGGGCCAGAAAACTGTGCTCTCTCAACAATGGCATATTTTCAGATTGTTTCAACACCAAAACTACACAAAAACTCAAGAAAAAGACTTGGGAAGTTGTTAAACAGTAATTTATCTCAAGAACTTGACAAGTAATTTGTCTTATGATGGCGATTCAGCAATACAGGTCTTTTTATTGGTGTGTAATATCTAAAAACGAGAGATCTTACTAGATTTGTCAGGTGAATGTGGTCTACATCATGCCAACTTTGACATTTTCTAAAGTTTTAAGTTCGGTTTTTGGGCATTTTGTTCTTGTTTAGTTGTTCTTTGTTAGATAGGACAGCAGAGGAGAAACTGGAAATGCTGTAGCAGGGGAAGGCATGAGTTTCATGCCTGAAAAGTGAACCAGCAACCGCTGCAACAAGGACTATAGCCTTCATACATGAGGTGTTTAAACCGCTATAGCATGAGCACCCTGAATAAGACATTTATTACTTGAAGTAGGATGGAAACGTGCTAAAATGTGTGTTTTTGATGTGTAAAATGACTGCTCTAGTCAATGGAGTTTGATCTGGAGGTCACACATGAGCAAAACTTTAACAAAGAGGTCTGTTTGTGTTGAGAACCTTTCTATAATGTTACCAGATACTCAACGAGAAGCCGAGAAGACATTGTTTTTAGTGTGAATCTTAAGGATTTCATCATTGCAGTTTAACATCAGGGCCTAATGGATGTCTGTTTAATATTTCAAGACAACCTGTTGATTGGTTACTGAAATGTTGGAGTCCAAACCAAATTGGTGGAGTTAGCTCAGAGCCATTCAAGAATGTTTCGTCATTTTCCCGATGTTTATGCATCCATAAAAAATCTATGAAATCACTGAAATGAAAGGAACAACATTTCTGTCTTCCTGGGCTGCTGGCACGTGTTCTCCATTAGGCTGTTATTTCACCATTATCCTTTAAAAGACAAAATGCCATGAGGACAGCCTTAAAAAAGTTCATGATAACACAGAGTCTGTGTTTTGAAGCCGGTAGAGTCGGGTAGAAAATATCGATGTCTAAATGAAAATGTCAGCAGCTCTACAAGACAAAGAGCAGCGTGTAGTGTATCTGGCACCTTGTACACCAGATGTGTGCTGATGAGAGCCGGCGCCAAAACAGCAGTGGCAGCAGCTAAATGAATCAGGATCACTTGTTCTCTTCCTCACCCAGGAGGAGCTCAGAGCTGAGCAGCCAAGTGGAGCTCAGACAGAAAAGGCTCCAGAGTTACATGTTTGTGACTCTGCTGGTCAAAAGAACAACATCGTAGATGAAGAAGAGGAAGGGTGGAGATATCAGAGCTCTGTTTGAAACAGGTCAGAATTTGAGAGGGGGTTTACTTGTGAATTTCTCCTCTCCTTTGACTGCTGTGATCTTACAAACTATGTATGATTGGACAAAGCTGAGTGCAGGGTTACTCATGACACAAGTAAATATGACAAGATGTGGTGCGCTTTGATGTAAAGTACAGTACACAACTGCTATACGGTAAAAAAAAACATACGATAAGATATATTATAGGATATAATACAACAACACCAGACATGTACCATATGGCAGAATACCAAACCATACCCTACTATAGGGTGCAATATAAATAATACCCTCATGATACCATAATGATACAATACAATATGACACACTGCAATACAACAAGATATCTATCCATCCATTCCCTTTACCGCCTCTCTCATTCAGGGTCACAGGGAGGCTCATCCTATTCCAGCTGTCATTGGTCCAGAGGTCAGGTACACCCGTCCTCTAAGCAGGCAGGTGATTTACAGTGTTCACTTAGGCTGATGAGTATGTTTTTGGATTGTGGGAGGACGCCAGATTACCCAGAGAGAACCCAAACATGTACAGGGAGAACATGCAGACCCCTCACAGACAGGCTCTGGTTTAGACTGGGATTTAAACCAGGGACCTTGATGTTGCTAGTCACAAGAAGATATGTTATCATAGCATGTAATTCAAGAAACTGCAAAAAGCACCTGACAGCAGGTCTCGAGTTTTCAGCTTAAATCCACCTGCAAAATGTGTTCAACGCAAAGAGAAGACCCACAAATTAAGGATCTCTTTTAAGTGAATATCTTGTTTAAGTTAAGACTTTTAAAGTCTTGTCAGGTCTGAACCTTGGTTTAAACCCTTGGACTCATCTTTGACCACAGCTGTATACTGCATAAGTTACAAGTAAGAATCAAATCTGTGCTGTTCTTTTGTTTCTGCTGAGCTGGACTCAAATGTCCTGACCTTTGGATGTGCAGACATGAAACTGATATTATCCTCTCAGCTAACTGCGGCTAAGATGTCAGTGCTACAGTGTTCCTTAGACAGTGTTTGTTCACAGAACACTGAACTATTTATAAAACATGTAAAGAGAACTTTAAGCTCACCTATTGTTTCAGGGGCCCCTGGTGGCTACTGAGCCTCGCACAGCAACCTCAATTCAACGGAACAGAGTAGATCTTTTAGACTTCTTTCATATTCAATGAAAACATATAGCTTTATGTATCAACATGGATGTTAAAGGAAGTTGAAAAACAAATGAGACGAGACGTACCACCTTGTCAGCGGGGGGTTTCATAACGGCACAATTAAAAATCTCTTCACAGGAGCTTAAAAAACTACTTTTGTATCTCAGGGGCATCTTGTCCCAGAAGACCACCGTCCTTTGACATTTCAACCAAGAATCTGACCTCTAGATATCACTTATCTTGTCTAATTCTACACACTGTACCGTTGAATAAAGTTAAAGTCACATTCCTCTCAGTGCTGGTCAGCTGAGTGGGACAACCGTGTGACATCACTCATCAGATGTAAACAACAATCGCGGCGTATGAGAAAGAAGTTCAGCAAACTTTCAGTAAAAAAAAAGGCATGAATAGTGTTTGATGTTTAAATGCTAATTTAGTTTGATTTAAAATAATCTATTTTTTAAATCATCCACCACTGTTCCCACAGGCTGACAAAACTTGAAACCACATTATGCAAAATGAAAGTGAGTTCATTTTTAAACCAACCTGACATCATTTTGAAGCTTCATTTCTCAAAATAAAAAGGAATAAATAACAGTCACTGTAAAGACGGATAACCTCGTATTCTCACACACTGTTCAGAGCTGCAGGATAAAGAATGCATCAAACCCCCTCTGTTTAGCATCCATGTAGTCCAACCAGACCACCAAAACCTTCCACCCATTTTAAGGACAGAGATCCTTAACTTTTAATGAGACGTTCCTGCTCATTGTGAGGGGGGAAGCGTCTCTGCTCTGGGCCTCCACTCATGTTCTTCTCTAATTAACATGGCTGAAGCCCCAGAAGGCCGGCTCAGCTCCACCTCGCCTCTCCTTCAGTTACCTTCATTGTCTTCTGGCACTTTTCCATTTCCTCCTGCTCTCATGTCCTTTGCCTAATTATATCTGTAATAAATATCCCGCTCACAGTGATCTGCTTCTAGAGGAGCTGGACGGGATATAGGGACTAGAGGATCCAAAACAAACAATAGAAAGAACGCAACACAAATGGACTGACCTACCAGTTAGAGATTCTTGGAGCATAATCAGGAGTAAAATTAAGATTATTTGTGGGCTGTTTTCACAGATTATAAAGCAGGAATGTGCAAAGTAAGCCCTTTTTCCAATATAAGTTCTGCTCCTCTTCTGTAATGTATGGACTCCATTTTAACCTTGGGTGAGGCTTCGTCTTACTTTGAGATTTGGAGTGAAAACTTCTTTGAGGAATGAGCTGAAAAACAGTTTCATTCAGAGTGTCTGTAATATTGTACACTAAAAAATTGGTTAAGAGGTGGAGTTCAAATGGGACTTCAGTCTCTCTGCAAACTGCTCCAATTTCCCCACCAGTGTAGTCAACCCATCCTCCCACACAATACAAATTTATGTAAAAGTATTACAAACCTATAAAAAGAATAACCATCTCTCTTTATAAAAAGAATAAGTCAAAGGGACCGTTTTTGTACCAGGCTGTAAGCATGTTCGCTCATGTTCTAAAACTGAACTGAATGATTTGTCATTTGAACACTGAAATTGCTATGTGCACATGCGCAATAGTCGCATTGCCGGAGGTGTAATATCATCGTTTGAGTCACCTGAAACCTGTCATGCTGTCAATACTTCCTTGTCGCCAAGGATTAGCCTACAATAAATTATCTGAAATCACTAATGCAGCTCCTCACTTGAGCAGAAGTGACCACTGTTTTTGCAGAGTTCGTCTGTGTGACACAGGCCTGTGCGCGATCACAGACACTGGAGCCAACACTCAATTAAACAAGACAGATTACAGAACAGTCTTCCTCCTCCACCCGACTCTGTGCTAGTTAATGTCTTGGGCACCGAACAGGACCGCCAAAGGACAACAGTGTTTACTTGAAATGTTTGCATCCGCAGAGCACATAAATCATAGTAAGCTGAAAAGAGTTAGCTTTTGTTAAATAAAATTACCATCACAGGGCTTAAGCAGATTAGACATTATTTAAACACCAGCAGGAAAATTCGATGACCTTAAAATAAATAAATAACAGGAGTCTAAACTTGATCAGTAAAATGTTACTACACCTGTACTCTCTCCTTCCTCCCTCATATTTTTCCATGCAGGTTTCAGAGCTGCTGTCAGAGGACTTGACACAGTGTGGTAAAAAGTAGGAGGAGGTTTCCTTTAACAGCAAAAAAACAGAACAATACATATTATAAATGGTATCACTGTATTATTTAAATTTTAGAATATTTAAAGCAAACTGTATATACACTGCATTCATCTGTTATAGATTTCTATTGTTTAATATTCAAAAATATATTTTGGACAGAACAATTATCACGGATTTGGTCTTTTTCATTATCATTCAGCCCTACTGTAAAATTAGACATGTTGATGTGGGGACGCCTTGGCCTTCGAACTGCGTTTTTTGCCTTGAGAAATAGGCTTAATTTGATACACCAGAGGATGCCACTTGGATTGAACTCTGTTTATTTACCTCCCATCTACACCTCCTTCTCTATCTTTATTTTCTTTGAGGTTTCTACACCAGCTGGCATTGTAAGTGTTACATTATTATTGTTGAATCAACCTTGAGTAACAAAGGCTGTATCACTGTAAAAGTCAGCATTTTATTTTTGAGATATGTTTAAGAGAAAATTGAAATTTGATGGACCCAAGTGGAGTGCAAAGACTCACAGAGAATATTGTGCCAAAGTAGTAATCGTAATTATATTACACCACTGCCTTTGTGTTGCAGTACAAGCTTTTGGTTATCTAAAAGCCACAGCGACGTAGCCCTGCAGAAGTTATCAAAATGTGGAAATAGAGGAAAATGCAACATTTACCTTTAAAGTCTACAGCCCCAGTGAGCTAAACACATTCAGGATCCATCGTCTGTTACTTACTATCAAAAAGAAGCAAGGATATCGGTAACAGAGATATGCCAAGTGCAGAATGACCGGAAAAGCATCCTGACAGTATGCAAGTAGGGAGCTAAGAGCTTATGAAGATGTAAAAACACAGCAGGGAGCTCAGGGCCACACTGGAGAAGTTCATAGGTTTTTTTCTATTACAGGAAATGAATGTGTTGCCTTCCCTCCCATCCTTCCCTGCGTGCATTTGTCATCAAAGCCCGACACAAGTGCTTTAAAGCGAATACTCGGATGTTGCCATGGCTACAAAGTCACCCCATGGGCTTGGCCATCTATTGAGCTTTTTTTTTGCCCCCGTTCTCCTTCTCTCCTTTGCAAGAGGAAAAATTCATGTGGCCAAACTGTCAGGGTAGAGCTTTTATGACTTCAAAGGCAGGCAGAGTCGGCAGGAGCTCCGAGACCTTTGTCAGATGGCAACGTGCTGCATTTCTCCAGCAATGTTGACATTCACTATTTGCCTTGCAGACCTGAGCAACAAGGACAATCAGCCTGCAGCAATTTGAAAATCTGCTGCTCTCCTCTGTCTCCTAGGGCTGAGCACATGAAGCCATTACGCTGACTAAAAAGGACCAAACTCCCTGAGTTTGGCATTTGATCCCACTTCAGTGAAAAGATACTCGGTGAAAAAAAAACATTTAATACATTTACTCTTCTTGTATGTATTCACAACAGACTATATCAATGATGGACGTCGCCAACAGTCTGTTTGGCCTCTGCCATTTTGGTTTTTGTATCAGAAGGTGACCGTATGTTGATGAAAGAGTTGACAAGGAAACAAAGGGAGTCGTCAATTTTTAGTACCCACGGATTATTCAACAGTGCATTAGCTGATTCATATTATTTTAATTGATTTTGAACTACAACTTTAACGCCGTTTGGTGTGGTAGCTGAGCTTAATTTGAGGGGAGAACAGTGGAATAATGACACAAACCTACATCCAGCTTTCTCAGCACTGCTGCCTCCTCCAAGGAAAACCAGACAACAATCCTGATTTCTATCAAGGGGCTGCCACAAATGTAGGTTCCTGCTAATCAGATAAGAAATGAAAAAACTGGAATATGACTGTCAGACTTCTAGACAGTCTGTCAATAAAATAAACTATACAGCAAGACAGATTACATGTATGCAAAAGGCTCCAACACCACAAACACGGCTAAACACGGGTCGTGGCCTGTGGCTAAATTTGCGATGGTGAGACAGTTAGCAGCTCCACCTGTCACTCAAAGAGGCACCGCCCCAAATGAGAAACTTTTAAGGATGCCGTGTAGTGATTGGGTGGTTCTGCAAATTAGAATCCCAACAGGGTGAGTATGACCCTGACTGAAAGCAGGCAGCAAAAAATTCACTCCTCAAGAGTGTGTGCTGATAGAGAATTGAGCTATTCAAACATATATTGTTTTGTAAACAGCTTGATATTTATTAGGTTTTTATTATGGGTGTGGAAGCAGATTCTGGGGCTTTTGGAGCGAGCCTCAAGTGGACACTTAAGGAACATTGGTTTTAGCTTAGAGACTGAAGGTTGCAGAGGATTGACTCACTTTTAGTTTCTAGCCTCTTGTGGACACTTGTGGAACTTTTTCACCCTAATAGCGGCCTGGCTTAGACAAAATCCTTCTTATGCAGACTATTTCTACTCTCTCCCATAGGAACATTGATTTTTCCGACACGGTTTGGTGACCTGTGTACCTCCTCTGCTTGCTGAATTGACATCTTCCTTTTCCTCTTCAGGTCACGGCTTTAAGTTTGGACCAATCATTGGCAAGCTCCTGAGTGAACTCAGCCTGGGAGAAGTGCCCTCCTACGACCTTTCACCTTTCAAAATCCGACGCTTCCATGAGAAAACAAAATCAGCTCTATAATCCGAGGACTGAACACTGTGAGCGTCAGCAGATCCTCAAAAAGTCTTAGTGAAATTTAACTGTGGCTTGATTTATTGTTGTCTATTTGTGGTTAATTTAGCACGTTGTTGTTTTGTTTCTTTTATTTGATTACAGGTCCTAACAGTCACTCATGTATCATGAAACATTTTGTGTATCCTCTCCAGCCTGTGTGTTTCTACTCCAAACAGAATTTTATGATGCAGTTTAATTTAACTGTGAGACCTATAATTTGCATGTTTACGATTGTTTTTAAATGAACTAAGCTTTTTAAATAAAAGTAAGATATGTTTACACATCATGTTTAGTGAAAAATATCAAATGTTATGTCTATGAATACTTGCTGCAAATAAAGATGTAAAGGTCTTTATTGGTAAAACATTGTGGACATTTTGATGATTCTAAAGTTGCTGAAAGATTATGCAATTTTATCAAAGATACTCAACTAATATTTTGGTTAACACTTATCATTATTGCGCAACCTTTCTCCAACAAATTCAGTTTACAGTGAATGTGAATTTACATTAAAATAAAAGATATTTGAGTCTTCTCTGTTGGAAATATTACTCAAAAAACTGTAGTTGTAATGTTTGATGCAGCAGCTAAACATTGCTTGTTTTGGCATAGAGATTCCCACCTCATCCCCCCTTGGAGATATATATTTACATGCAGACGATGAAGTGTGATGAGATACTAGTATCTTAAACCCCTGGTCAAAGCCTGCAGCTAGATTCCGGGAGGGGGTAGGACTAAAAAAGTTTGAGTGCAAAACCGCTGCAGGGAAGTAGAAGCAATGACAGAACAGGGACCAGAACCCTGTCAGCTTAGACCACCAAATCTGAAAGATGTGTTTGTCAGGTGATCGTGAGAATGACTCAAGGCAAGTGTGAAATCATGGAAGCTCGAAAATTCTGCCTAAACCTGTTTGCAGGTGTCACTGCATTTGTTTCTGATGTTTCTCTTTCATGCAAATTAAACTGGGTCAGGCGCAGCGAATAAACCAGATTCACAATTTGTCTTTCAATTTTATAACCGCATGGAGATATTTGTGGATTATATTTAACATCGACTTCATGGTGTCCTCAGAGTTTTATACTTTTGAGTTAGTGACAGGAAAAAAGGAGAACTGACAGGAGTTGGCTGATCTTATTTAAATTAGAAAAGATGGACAACGCATCCACTCCTCAAAAGTGAAAGTAAAAATACACACTGAAGATGGGTATGAGCAGAGAAAAGTGTCTTAAACCTGAGGGGAGGCAGGCAGGAAAGCGTTGTGGCCAGGAAACTACTGGGGTGGCCAGGACTATCGCCAGAATTCCAGCAGGTTAAATCCATCTCTGCTCCAATCCAGTTTGGCTCTGTGCAGCCTCATCCATCAACACCCACAGAGCAGCACGGCCAGACAGCTGAAGTCACGAGACAAAGGACTTCCTGTGTTAAATACCGAGTCAGTGGTTTTCTACTGCTATGATGAGCTCTGAAAACCTCTCGTCTGTTAATTCCACATCTGACTCCCCTCACCCTGATGGTTTAGGGGTGGAGTTAGTTATGTGATACACAAGAAAGAAATCTATGAATAATCACATATACATCTAGATTTGTAAAACTGGATCATAAAGAGCTTTTCTTCCCTGTGCAAAAGAGCCGATACTATGCATCTCAGTGTTTCTTGTACGTCCCCTGACCTTGCTTTATAAGGATTTGCATGCAGATGCACGACAGTTGAAACAACCTGTCGAGAGAGCGGTCTCATTAAATCATGAATAAAGTAATCCTGCCTTGATTTTGACCCGAGAACCAACTCTGACATCCTGGCATTGTTGTACATTTGTAAACTCACCCATCTGTGACAAATAGTAATTAGAAAAAGCTATAATCATATTGGCTTGTATGATTTCATGCATCAGTGAATCTCCCAGCATCCCCCATTTCGCCCACTAAGTACATGGTTAAAAAGACATCAGCAGCGAGTCGTTTGTTTCTGTGTGAAGCCAGCTGCGTGCTCGGGCCATTGCCTGGATCTATTTCCCCGTGTACCGGTAAACATTTTAATCACTAATCAGTCGGCCTATTACAATAGATACTAAGCAAGGCCATCAGCGGGAATGAGAAAATTATGCAGCGAGGCGGCAGAGATCACCCAGCCATTTGCTCCCTTGCCTCTAAGTGACTTCAGATGGATAGCAAAGGGCCATTATGCAAATAGCAAGAATTAGAAGTACATTAAATATGCAAATGCAAATATTCAACCTCCAATAATCATCACTGGACAAATAAAACACCTTACTGCAACAATCTGTACCATGTATAACCTGAAAATTTTTAAAAAGCTGCACATGAACGACACCCGCTCTGTGTACAAGCATTATACACCTGACTGGAGCTCAATCAGGTCTCCAGGGTGCATAATTGTTCTTTTTATTATATAATGGTAACAATCCAGAGTAACATTATTACATCTGCAGACTCAAGAGGCATCACAGGAAGAAATGTCAAGTAGATGATCTCGTTGTCATGCGGCAACAAACGAAAGATAATGCTATTCAGAGTTACTCTGACAAACAGAAAACAGCTCCTTCAGGCTGCGTGGTAGCTGCAGGGACGTCTATTTTACATTACCTTTTTTTTGTATCACTACAACATACTACAAGAACAAAGTCAAACAAAGTACGGTAGCAGAATTATTGCACTTTTATCCCTGATCCAGGTCATAGACTTGAGGCTGAAAGAAGCTGAAATGGCTTCATTGAACCGCCTCAGCCTGCAGGAGGTGAACACGCTGCTATGGCTGCAACTGGATCCTTAAAGACAAAGCACGTCCACAGTAAGAGTTTTTCTTTTTTTGTACATGTCACTTCTGTGCCGCTGTTTGCTTGCACCTTGAGTTTGAGTAAAGTCCTAAAGTAGATCACTGGGTTTCTGAGCATGGACTCACAGTTTCAACACCTGCACCACCACGTTAACTTGAGATCCCGCTCATTCTCCAGACAGCACAGAAGTTTCTCCCCTCTCTCCTTCAGTCTGCTGAATCTTGTCATTTCTCCAAAGCTCAGTGCATACAGGTGTCTCCTTGTGTCCCCAGTAAACAGAACAGCCCTATCACAATGTCAATACAAACACACTTGCTGACTTTCCTGCTAAGCCTGTGAGGGCTCAGGCTGTCCCACTGTCAAATTGTCAAATGTGTGAGGGATCTCTCTATGCACCCTTTCCATAAGCAGGCATATCTGCAGACTTAGAGTGAGGGAGTTACCCATAGTTCATGACATTGTGGTGTCAACCATGGGATTTTCAGAAATTTATCCAACATTAACTTCTTACTCTGTTTAATATAACTTCAAATACTGATACCAGACAAGATCTGCCTCTTCTTAGAAAGCAGGAGGGAAAATCTTTTTTTCAATGTGTTGCTTTATGGTCTCAGAGTGATGGCAGCCGGGTCAACAGGCTGTCAAATGTGCCTGCTGACTCTCCTGTGGTAGAGTTGGTTGTCGATTTATCCGAAGATAGGGATTCAAACGCAGGGTCTGCTGCCCATATGTTCGTACCCTGAAGTGTCCTTGGGCAAGCCACTTAAACTGCTCCAGGTGGTTGTGATACAGGCACTTTTGCAAAGCATCAGTGAATGAATGTGGGTCATGAAGTGTTAAAAGCCCTTTGAGTGACCAGAGAAGTAGACAAAGGGCTATGTTAATACACTCTATTTACTATTACTATATGGGGTTATCAGGATCAAGAACTGGAGCTTGATGGGTAAAAGTCAATTATTAGAGATAAGGTACAATAGAGACAAGGAGCTGCAGCTGCAACCTTTTCTTAGACTATCACTAAAAATCACGAGCACCAGAGTTTAGCTAGAGCCCCAGAGGGCTTGAAGCCTGCAGTTAGACCTGTCTCTCAAACCACTGCTGTGACTCTGAAAAGACGGAAAAGAAAAGAACCGAGTGTGACAAAGAATGACAGCCGAAGTGTTTTCCACTCAGCCAAGTTTACTGAGTTTTGACTGCTCGTTCGCTCGCTCGCCCCACCAACACCCCATCCTTTCTCTTCCTTTCTCTCTCTCTCTCTTTCTGTCTCTTGCTCTCTCTATTTTGCAAAAAGTGTGTTGCTGCTGTCATGGCAGTGACAGGCAAACACAAGCTTGAGATCATAAGTGACATTTTCCCAGAATGCACGCAGAGAGAATGCAGCGATGAATATTTACAGGCTGAGTGATGACCTGGAGGATAACTCTGGATCTGGCCCAGAGGAGTGAGACGGTTCAGCTGCTGCCAAAGGTCACTCTAAATGTGTGAATGTTTACTGGCCAATGCAAATGCTTTATACAGTAAATGTACAGTGATGCACGACTCATGAAGTAGCTCAGCTCCCTGAAGAGTTTCTAATGTGTTTGCTGAAGTAGGGCAGGTTTAGTTTGATAGTGGAAGGTTAAAAACACACCTGTGTGTCATGGGACGGTTAATTACTGAGCTCTGGAGGTGAATTTACAGTGTTGTTGTACAAGCACACTGACGAGGAAAAGAGTGGGCTGTGATAGAAAAGGAATAAGGAACATGAAGTCAACCTCCATCAAGAAAATACACAGTAAACAAAAAACGCCTCTGGTCTGTAGGAGAATAAGAATTTTTGACTGGGGTTCAAACAGTGGCGCTGACTTTTGTGGGGATGACATTAAATACATACTCAGCACATGAATCATGTGTTGATTGTTTATCTCCACTATTTTTAGTACTGGCATTAAGGTTTCTATAGGATCATGCATGTGTGTATATCCTGGGTAGGGCTGCGACAGTAGAAGGGTAAAGCAACATATGACTTTATCGACTTTATGAAAACAATGACCTCATCAAATATCTCTGATAATATTCAGATTTATGGTTTATCATTGACCCTGTGACCAAAACTTCTTTGAAAGGAGCTGCCTCATTCGATTGAGTGTCATGCTTTTATTTTGATAGTGTCTCTGTCTTGTGTTTAGGCTGCTTTTATTCCTGTGCTGTCAAACTACGCTTTTATTTTGAAACTCACTGCCTCTGGTAGATTAACAGTTACATTACAGTTATATTACAGCAATGAATGAAATCAGTGAAGTAACTGTTAGAAATGATAAAAGTTCAGCTAATTCGTGACCCATTAGTACATGACTATGAAGTAATAGTTTGACCCAATTCTTATTTTTAGCTCAATATCAATATTGAGCTAAAAATAAGAATTGGGTCACTACCGGCAACGTCAATACCTGTATACTGCAAAAGCTCTAACCTTGGTAAATACATCTCTTTACTTAACTGAGGCATGTTATATAAAAAGTCTGCTGGAGCAGACGTCACCACCAGTGAAACTGTAGTGATGGGATATCTCAGTTATTCACATTGGTCT